ATCAGTTAACATTACAATGCTTTCACACACAAAATATTTTTTTTATTAATTGCTAAAGTTTGTTAAGCAATGTTTTTTTTCATGCCATTATTTTTTTTATTTTCACATGTTACCTATCCAACATGCAAAGTAATTTTTATTTTAAAATTAAAAATATTTTTATGGATCAGAAAATTTTCAAATTTCACATGCCAAATATTTATAGTGTCCAGATAGTTATCAAACGTTTTTTAAGGAAGAACTTTATATTTCATCGGTTATTTTCCCTAACGATTCTCTACGGTTTCGATAGATTTGACCGATCTCGTAACCAACATAAAAAATTAGGAAATAAATACAAATGATGCTACTTTCGTTCTAGAATGACTACAAATTATAACACGAAAACATAAATGTTTAGACCAAATAGCTTGAATCTCATAACATTATACATTTATATATATTTATAATTTTTATTATATTGACCTTTCAGCCGAGCCTGGCTGGCATTACAGAAGTTGTAAAGACGCGGCGTAAGTGAACTCATGTTACCGTATCCAATAATATGAAATTGACCTTTAGTCTTTACAAAGTGATCCTGTCTTGGCTGTGTTTTAGTATACTAGTATTTAGTAAAATGCAGTAACATTTCAATTATTATACATTATATATGCATATGTTATTGAACATTTTTCTTAAACATAGAAGCAAACAATTATCTCTTCCAGTTATGACCTTTCTACCCAGTTGCTGCTTGACGTAGGTTGCTAAGCCCTTTAAAATTTCGCACGTGGAGGAAATGCAATAATTTTTTTAGGTTTTATGTATACAGTTGAACAACCAAAAAAAATCACAAATTCCACTATAATTTATCAAGCTTTGTAACTAAAGGTATTTCGGTCTGGCATAACCAGGTGGTTAGATTGCTCGACTCCCAATCTGAGGGTCGCGGGTTCGAATACCCCTCCCACCAAACATGCTCGCCTTTTCAGCCATGAGGGTATTATAAAGTTACAGTCAATCCCGCTATTCGTTGGAACCCCAATATTTTGGTGGTGAGTGGTGATGACTAGCTTCCATGCCTCTAGTATTGCAATGTTAAATTAGGAACAGATAGTGCATAGAACCCTCGTGTGGCTTTGCGCAAAATTACAAACAAAGCTGTATTTCGGTCTAAATAATATGAACTTTGGAGCAGACTAAATACACAATCTACCTGCTTTGAAACCTTGGTTCGAAAGAATGAGATGGCCTCCCAACATTTTAAAATGCCTGAGAAAACCACTAGGAGGACATTCTGAGCTGTCAATTGGTTATTCACATGTCATCTATTGAAGAAAGTATATATAAGGTACCGTTTCCAAAAATCACAAACATCTCATTTGAAGCAGTGCTGCATTCAACATACCACGTGACATACAAAAATCGATGTTTAACTGTTTGTTTTATATTTACTTTTAAATTAAGAAATTAATAGGGTAAATATATACTATGTTGTTGTTTGGCTTAGGATTCTTCTGCAGTATGTATCTATGACTTGTTAGCGATAAATTCAACGATGAATTAACAGCACGCACTTCACTTGTTTTCAAAATAATATATATATATATATATATATTCAGAACAAGTTAACGTGTGTACAATAAATTCTTCAACACCACAGATATTATGGACATATCATAAATACTATATATGTCGTTCTCTCCTTCTTGTCAAATATCCGCTTAGGCCTATTCAATTACTTTAGAATTTCCGTTAACAAGCCGAACTATCTTCTCTATTTCTATCACACTAATATTCTCTGTGATTCACTTACAATTGTGGCACAAACTGCCGTAATCGTTTGGTCTTCTTTCTTTTGAAGAACCCCTGCTCCTTTTGTCAAAGTGCACTTAAGCTGATTCAATTACTTTAGAACCAGGCTTTGACGAAATAAAATTATTTTCCTTATCTTCTATTCTATTGTTGGTTTCACTCTTAACATATTAAACGTTAGGCCTATCATTTCTACGGTAGTTAGCTTCTTACTAATTTTATTCTCTTTTGCTATTATCCGTCTGCTTCTTGTCTGCTGTTCTCGCTCGTCTCATGCTATTTATATATCTATTACCCAATCGTCTGTTCGCCTTCTATATTCTCTACATCAATAAATTGCACGTGACGTTCGATATTCTGAACATCAATGAATTATAAACAAAACTTCCTATAATCATCTACTTTTTACTCTTATTATAACAAAAACGAAACAATAATAAAACATTCACTCACAAAACTAAATTAATCAATAATATCTGAACGAAACAGTCTTATATAATGACAGTGTTGATGCACAATGTTAAATATTAAGAAACTGGTATACATCCAGTTGGAATATTAAAGATTTAATGAGAGCTAGCTTTCAATTCTCTTCTGGGATTGTCTTCAGGCTAATGAACGTTGGTATATACATATTTATGAAGCTTGTAAGTACTTTTAACTTACCATTTAGTAACCTAAAATAATTTAGGTATGTAAATAATACTGCGGTAAAGTCAAGAAATCTGTAATATAATCACCAGCCAGTTGGTCCACTGCATAATATAGAATAATAAATTTGACATAATACCACAATATAATTCACATATTTAAATTGAGTTAGGTTACTAAATAGTGAGTTAAAAGGACTTAAACACATCAATATTATATACACACCACCATTATACTGACCCAAACTGAGCTTACGAGCCTTTAGTAGGCGAAATTGCAGTCTACAGCAGACGGTAAGGCGAAACAAAGAATATATATATATTTGGCCTTTACTTTACGGATTATATTTTCCATTTCATCTTTGGTGTACAGAAAAGAAACATTTATTATAATAGTATGTACAAATTCACGTTTAAAAGGTCTTAACAATACTATGTTTACTGTTCTAAGCACGCTTTATTTAGAATTGTTGGTTTCACGTTACGTGAATTTGTATATACCGTTGTTTATTAGCCTTACGACGATTTCTGAAGAAAGTCGAAAGCTATCTTCTATCAAATCTTCATATTCCAACGTCGTGTATACACGTTTTTTAAAATCTAATATTGTGTTTATAAATCGTGGTATAATTTTAAAGTTGAAATTTTTCGTATTTCTAATAATAATAAGTAGAAAGGAAATACTTAAAAATAGGGTTGGTACTGAATTATTTACAATTGAATATACTGTTACGTCTGTGTTCGTTTGTTAATGTCCCGTGAAAATTCTTCCCGAGGAATTTCGGCGATACAAGTCCTTTCTTAAATAAGACTAGTTTATTCTTTCTCAATACATCTTTTCAATACACAGAATTTCTACGGTCACGTTGACTTAAACACACGCTATAATTCACAATGATTTGCACACTTTACATACGGCTTGACTCGATTATCCCGTTATCAATTTATCTGTCGCTATGTCTCTATCTGCAATTCTAGTTCCGATTAAGTTGCCTCGCTTTATCTGGCGCGCTTATATACAGGAATAGAGGGCGTCTAGCAAATACTGCATTATTCGTGATGTTCCCCGAACCTTCTAGATACTCATTACGTGTTACCAGCGTCACGTGAATTCCGCTGTCGTAACAATACGATATGTGTCATAATCCGCTAGTCAAAGTTTTTGTTTGTTTTTTTACAAGCAACAAAGACATCAAACTTCTTTTTTCAAACAAAGCTTTACGAAATTAAAATCATATACATCTACTTAAATCTGAACCTTAAGATAGAAAGTGATGAATTTTTTACAATTTCATAATTATCGTGGCGTACCTTTTTCAGCTGCATCAGGTGTGGCTCCGTCAGTTTCGTCGCTTCGGAAGTGTGGATTATCAATGGCAAATTTTCCTTTATCATCTGCCCTTTCCTCTTCATTGTCAAATTTTCCCGCAGTAACTCTAGCACCTGTGTGTACAAAAAGGTTGGGTTAAAGCAGGCCATTGTTTGTCATAACTCGTTTTCAGTCTTCATTGTAAATTGGATTAAGAAATCCACGCGGACATACTTATTGTGAATGTCAGATATTGATGATAGTGTGTTTCTATCGTTAGCGAGTTCTTTCTTATTATTTGGTTTAAAAAAATGCAAAATTTCAGTTCATTTAACAATAGTTAAGGCGATTTATTTCTTCAACCGTAACGTACAAGTTCTACAGGTTACGTTCGTTGATAGGCCTAACTTCCAAGTAAAACTAAACTGTAACTTTTTACTTTTACTCATATCTAAAGCACAAACTCAAGCTGACTGACTAACACACTCGCTTTCTCAGTATCAATAGATAACATAATAATAGACTAACTGATAAATTTACAGACTATATAACTCATTGATTAACCCCCTGATTGACTGGGTGACTCAGTAACTCACTCATTGTTGCTGTTGTTTGTTAATATTGTTACGACAGCGGAAGTCACGTTACGCTGGTAACACTTAATGAGTATCTCGAATGTTCCTGAAGGCTCGAGTGTTTGCCAGACGCCCTCTATTTTGTATATATAAGACCGGCAAGAAGTGACGGGATAGATAATTGCAAACAGGCAGAGATAGAGACGGACAATTGAGTCAAGCGCGGTAGTGAGCGTAAGTAAAGTGCGTGATTCGTTGTGAATTATAGCGTGTGTTGAAGTTAAAGTGACTGTGGAAATTAAGTGTATTGTAAAGTTATATTGAGAAAGAATAAACTAGTTTTATTTAAGAAAGGACTCGTGTCACCAAAGTTTCATCCGAAAGAAATTATACGGTAAATTAACAAACGACTAGAGACGTAACAATGTTGTTATAATATGATATCTTATAAAATGCTGCGAGAAAATTGGGAATTAAATTAAATATGATGTTTAATGCTTAAAATGTCAAAGGATTGCACCCTATTGGATAACAGATAAGAGTGATATAATTTTTCATTACATAGTTTTCTTTACTGGCCCTATATGGGTTTCCAGAAAGAAAACTGTGTAATAGCGTTTCAGTTATAACTTTTTTTCTTGTACACTGCGACCCATGGTCTGGCCCTCCGTTGACACAGCGGTAAGTCTCTGGGCTTACAACGCTAATAATTGGGTTTCGATACCTGCGGTGAGCAGAGCATAGATAGATCATTGTGTAGCATTGTGCTTAACAATAAACCAAACTAACGACCTGATGAGGTCTAGTACTAAATGATAAAAACCTATAACCCAAAACTTTTTCAACCTACGTGTTTTTTTCACATCACGAATGAAGTATTGTTCTGATATTGCATCAGACAAAACTGTGATGTAATATTGCACCTATTACCCATTACAGTATAATGGCGTACGCACTTACGGATTATACACCTTTTGACTCACAACTAATTGATATAAATGTCAGTGATGCAAATCACACCAAACTACAGGTGTTTCTCCGCATTTCTTTTTAAGAAGTCCATAAAGGATTTCAAAAATATCATTCTAAAGCTTTCTTTTTCTTGTTATGCATTGCTGCCCAGTAGGCTTACTTTTCAATACAAGAAATAAATACGTCAATAGTATAAATGTGGTTTCAACAGAGACTCCATAAATTGTGACCAATCTTTCCTGGTGAGCTCTGGTATTGAACTAAGGACCTCGTGGGTAGTGGAGTGTAACAAAAAAGGTGTAGTTTAAATACTATTATGCACTTTTATTGGGAACAACATGACCTCGTGGCCAGTGCTCTGGATTTGGTCTCGAAAGGTTGTGGGTTCAAGTCTTGTCCTTGATTACTTTACCACAGTTACAAGCGAGTTGCTTGAGATTAACCTGCGATGAGCCGGCATCCCATCCATGGGATATATATTACCATTCCCATGCGCTAGTGTCACTGGAAACTGGAGTTAAAAAACAGCCTTATGTGCCTTTTAAGATGCAAAAAGAACGAACTTGTGTTACTTATGCACTCTTGTTACTAGAATACTGTATTAATCTAGTAAAGATTTACTTGTTTGTTTGCTGTTAAGCGCAAAGCTACAAAATGGGCTATGTGTGTTCTGCCCATAGCGGGTATCGAAACCTGTTTTTTAACGTGATAAGCCCTCAGATTTATCACTGAGCCAACAGAGAGCGTCAGTAAAGAACGGTGTGATAAATATATTATCAGTCATACTGTGATGTAAATCAAAATTTATTTAGAAATTTCGAATAGCTATTTTATTTTTAGCCTCGTAAGTATCATAGTTGAAAGTGTTTAGTTTTTTTCAATTACAGACATTACATGTTTCGTTGAAGTTTTAGAAAAGCAAGACTCATTGATTGGGAATTACAATTAATGTTTATAAATCACCGCAAAAGACAATTTTATTGCCCCTTTGACATTCGAGAAACATAAATAAAACTTCTTGGCGGATTTCACTTGGTCGAATTTTTTCAGCAACACATTCTTTCCACCTAGTGTTTATAACTTAGTTTATACAAGAGAGGTTGAATAGCTTTGTGGACATTACACACAAGACGTACAATATACATATATCGACAACTTTCGTCCATTGCTGACTTATTACGGTATTGTAATTATTTAACCCTACAATCGATCAAACAGAAATTGTCATGTTTTGGTGGAAACTTTGAGAAAGAGTAAACCTGCTAAACTAATTTTTGATACGAAACCTTGTCTGGATTTAAGGTTCGATCTCTTGCTTTGAAAAACTCAATGAAACTCATAAAATATTGTTTTGGTGTTAGTGAAAAATCTTCAAAGCGAGGCTAATTTGTGTCAAGGCCATTTCATCTTGGCTTTCATTTGCACTGGAAGAATGATTTTCCAACACATTCATTGCATCTAGAACAACTGCACACTTACTATAAACAGCAATACATGTTATTCAACTATTTCTTATAACTTTCGCTGGTTAAAGTCTGGGGAATCATATCTAAGCTTGGTAATCACTGAACAATCTAAAACAATGAAAGTAGTTACAATGAGAAGAACAAAAAATCATACTATAATTATTCCTTCTGTTTCGCAATTTTTTTATTTATTTTTTTTTGTCCTCTTATAATTGCGCTTGCTATAGAAACTATGATAAACATGATTTTTTGACATTCTCCCAGTGTATGATGACTGGTTTAGCACTAAAAACAGGCCTTCTATGGATAAATTACTTTGCAAAAGGCAATTGTTTTTCATCAAAGTCTTGACACAAACGGGGGAACTCGTTTTTAAAGTAATATTTCTCTGCTATAGATGAACTCATGAACACAAAGAATTGTAATTTTCGAAAGCTCTAAGGCAATTTTAGTGTGTTTTATCATTTGTCAGATGTTTTGACGACCAAAACAGATTCCCAATTACTTGAGACTATACCATCTTTGCTTCCTCTATTAACCTAGGAAGCTAGATTACATCTTGTACAGCAATGAAGTTATTTCGTGTGATAATTACACATGGTCAAAGAGTGTGTCTCACTTGGACGTTTTTGGGCTTTTGATGTTGTTGAAGACTTACTTCTAAACAAGTATCAACTTTCTCTAGCGATGTCGCTGTGTTTAAATTTCAAATGCATAGAGGCCATGTCCTCTTTAATTTCGCTGATGGAATAACCAATGCCGTGGGTAGCGCATGCACTCTGAGAGGATTGACGCTATTATATATATATATATATAATTTTATACCCTCTCAGTCTTCATTCTCGTGGTAAAAACTCTCGATATTAAGAGAGAAGTGCTATTCGCTGTCTTTGTGCACCCATCTTTGTTTTTCACTTTCCTTTACATGATCAAGTTGTGCTTAGTTTATTTTCCTCGCATCAATCAAGTCTGAAATTTAGTTTTAACTCCACATAACATTTTCTACCGTATCTCTCGTTATTGTGGTACTACTCTTACCTGTAAAGTAATGAATGCACCTGAGAATACAATAAGATAAATAATTTTGTTTATGTAAAATGTTGGCTACGTGTGAAAAATAATGTTTATCACCAATAGTGTATAGTTTAACAATAATACGCCCTGGCGAAGAATGTGACGTCAGCTACTTTTTTGTACAACAAACAAACAATCTCTCTTATACAATAAATCTAAAAAAAAAAACATTTGAGGTGATTTCACGAAATATAAAAATAAATGGATATCAAGCAGTATAGTGAAGTTCTAATGTTTCTTTAAACAAATCAGTTGATAAGTAATAAATTAGTTATATACAAAGGATTTCATAACTTAATGGGGCCGAGCGTGGCCTAGTGATTAAAGTGATAGAACCATTGCTACAAAAGCTTGCTCCACATTTTGGAACCATGGGTATGATATAAAACTGATGGTCAAATCATACTATTCGATCAAGAGTTAGTGGTGGATGCTGTATTTTGATTACCTGTCTTCCCTCTAGCCCAGTAGTTCCCAATCTGGGGTCCGCGTAGGTAATACCCTCTCATTAAACAAGTTTTTAATACTGCTGTTTTTTTTTAATTGCACAATCAGTTATAAATGTTTTTTATTTGATAGTGAAAAATAGGCAAACGAGTTAATTATTAATTACTAAAAACAGTTTGTTGGGTAGACGGTATTTTTCAAAAACATGGGGTCCATGAGGAAAAAAATCAAAATCAAAGGGGTCTTTGGGAACCACTGCTCTAATTTTTCATTTCAAAAATAGGGACGGTTATATTCAAATAGTCTTTATGTAATATGTTCGTGGAAATTTCTGAAAAATTTAATTATATTTTCATATGTATAATCAAATGATAACAATTACGCCTTTCTCCTATAATACTTCGCCCCCCCCCCACGTAGCACAGCGGTATGTCTGCGGACTTACAACGCTAGAAACCGGGTTTCGATACCCGTGGTGGGTAGAGCACAGATAGCTTATTGTGTAGCTTTGTGCATAGCTTCAAACAAACAAACATAATTAAAATTCAATGTTTGGTTTTTGCCGGATCTCAGATCAGGAACCCATTTGGGGTGTGTGTT